ACTGGATTTTCAGAAGTGGTGAGTATCCTCTTCTCCACTGGAAATCTGTGGCTGGGAAAAAAGCTTATGATCTAGATCTTATAGGTTGTGCCTGACATATTAAGGAACCAGAGAAAATAATTCTCCTAACTTTCAGAGAGGCTCAAAATCTGAATCCCTGTTTTGCTGCTGTCACCTGCCCATATTTAATACGTTAAGTGCATTTCTTATCTCTTAAAAAAATCCTCCTAAATATTTTTTCTCTTGTTACTGAATATACCATTTTCTAGCCATAATTTTGATTGCTTCTAAATTTCAGGTTTAGTTTGTGATAGATTATCCCATGTTCTCTTGCAGTAATGAACACTCCTGTACTGGCAAACAGAAAAAGTAGAACGATGTGGAGGTTTCTGAGGTGCTTCACGAAGCTTTGCACTGACAGTAACCTTGCCCACTTAAATCTCTACTACAATTTAGCACAGCATACCTCCCTCAAGCCTTTTACAGTTATTGATTGATGGCAAAATCTCCCATGCACGTGCATTTTAAAATATTATACGCAACCTTTATAAAGCAACATTGGTTTGTTTGTTTTCATACTGTACGTAAAAATCTTGCACCTATAGCAAAGTTTCCCCCACAGTTGGTTGGTTATGAGTCCTGACCACGTTAGTGGAGCGGTGCAATGGAGAGCTAAGGACTGGAGTGCTGTCAGCTGCAAACTTTCGCACTTGCAAAGAACTGTAAGCTACCTATTTGTTTGAAGGCATTAAAACCCAACACACAAACCTCAGGATAGTTTCTGTTGTACAGCAGCTTTCAAATGGGACGAAATACCCCACTTCGTGGCCGACGTTGACATCCATTTCGTCAGCTACGCGCAGGGCCAGCCACACTGCTGCCTGCCTGTGCGCCTGGGTGCATACAACTGCGCCGTGTTGATAGTGGGCAGAAAGGCAATACTCAGCACACCACTGAGGAATCTGTAAGTAAATAAGAAAACAGGTGGATTTGGTATTTAACACGTTTAGCAGAGACTAATGCAAAAGAAGTAGACAGCGTGGAAGAACTAAATCAGCCTGAGCACCTGGTGCGTACTGTCTGCCGGACTGCTGATGGATGAGCTGCGCCTGACACAGAAATTATCTGCCTTGGTAAATGTCAAGGACCTGAATGTCTTAAGCAGTCAAGAGATGGAGTGACATTGGCTGGAAGGTTTACCTGGGAATTTCTCAATTGGATTTGGCTTAGTTGGAACAGAAGGGACAGAATTGACCTCCGGGGAGCAGGTAACACTGGCAATCTCCTGCTTAGGCACCTGCTCATTGAGCTAACAATGTTGGTGCAGTTGTCAGGGGCTTCTCACCTGGCTCAGCAGTAAACCTGCCTGTGCTACATCATATTCAGGTGCTTGACGTGGCAAACATGTCCCAGGAAGAAGAGGATTTCAAGCTGACAAATGCCAGAGTAAATGTATGTGATTTCAGATTAATTGCTCTGTAAAGAAAGCTAACTGGAACTGACCTATTCCAGAAACCTACGCAGTAGCTCTCTAGTGTATATATTTACAGTAGAAAATCGACACTAGAAAATAGTAAATGAATCTGTTATCATCCTGAGAAAGTAAAATTATATTGTAAATATTATTTTAGTGAGAGTATTAGGTTTCAAATCCCTTAATCACCATATATAAACTAGGTGCATCAGCCACATATCATTTATTTCTGTATAGTTATTTATGTTTCTAAAAATGTTTAAAAAACAGCCAGCAATGTGTTACATCTTATTAAACTTGTTTAAGGACAATTTAAAAAGCTAATATTTCTTAGCAAGTAGTTTATTATTATACGAAGTTTGTTTTGTAGAAATTACAGCCAGTAACGCTGTACTCCAAAAAATATTCCAGGCACCAGCTGTGGGTCTATCCTTTTTATAAGAACACAGGAATTTCAATTAGAAAAGTATGGTGTCTCTAGATCAATATGTGATCTCTAGCAGTGTCCAGCATCGAAGTCTCTGGCAGATGTGAGAGGCCCTGCAACAGTGATTATCCTACAGCTTTACCTGCAGGAAAGTTTTCTCAGTCATAAACGATCATGTTTTGGCTTATAAAACTTGCTGGAAAATTCTTCTCTGCTTACTGTGGTAACAGACTTAGGTTGGTTTATATTATTACAACAGAATTTGACAGTCCGGTGGATATTTATGTGTTTAGAGTCAACTGAGATCTTGGGTTCGGTGATGTCTGTTAACACGAGTTGTGTAGAGTAATTGTGTATTCTTGGAAAAAGCATTTTCTCTTGGCTGAACTGAGAGAAGGACCATTACTTCTCCCTGAGAAACGGCCCCGATGATTTCAATCCTTCATTCCGTGAGAACGTGTTTCACCTTCTCTTATGACCTGCCTGCAAATCCACTGTATTTCTTTCCTGATATAGCACTAATCAGAACCGAAACACACTTTCCAAGTCAGAACATGCATTGAATCCAACACTGGATTCAATATGCATTGAATCCAACACGTTGCAGAGTTTACCATTTCCACTGGGCATTCAAGGTGACGATGGACAAAAAGAAGATCAAATGACAAGTTTAGTCAATATTGGGGAGGAGGAAATAAAATTCTCCAAACGAATAAAATAGTGGCCAGGCAAATATAGGTGGAACTATTTACTGACAAAATACTAAAGCAACTTGAAGTAAGTCCTAAAGTATTTTACACTTAGGGTTGGCCTCTCTGAAGATGGTGGAAATTCACCTGTAATTTCAGTAGGGAAGGATTTTAGCTGATCTATTCTGATACATAGACCGGAAAATATGTAGTTGATAGGTTTTCGAGTTGAAGTGTGGTGTTTTGGTATACAAACAAAGAAAAAATTACAGTGCACATACTGATAGATACAGGAATATTTTATACAGAATTTTTCCAAGGTTCTGTGCATAGTTGGTTTGGAATTTTAAACTACAGGAGTTAATGCATGCGTTGTTCATTCAGTGTTCAGAAAGGGCTTGATATTTTTAAAATTAGTATGCAAAAAGATGTAGTTTGAGAATTTTGTTAGTTGTTCATGACACTGTGTCAGACAGTCACAGTCAGAAAAGTGTTATTCTTCAGTACTCAATTTACCCTGAAGCCCACAAGACTTCATCAACTAAGTAAAATGGCTCGTAACGGACAAATGTAAAGTAAGTGTCGATTGTTTGTGAATATTCGAAGAAAGGTATTTAAATGTATGTTTTTATATATATATATTTACATCTATATTTGACTGCATTAATCTTTTGTCACCTTTTGTATTTCACTTTCCCTCTCTGGCCTTAAAACCTCAGATTACAAAAGGTGGTTGCACATCTGTTTCTATGCTGAGAACTGCTAAACTCGGTACAACTATGTGTGCGTATACCCAGCTCTGAACCGCAGTGCTGAACTCTGCAGAACTGGATGTTATTATACTGCAGGACCATACAGCACGCTGCGCTGCTAACTGGAGCCAGGTACTAGTATGATATAAATCTGAATATTGATGTGCCCCATATAAATAAAGGGAACAGCAGTGAATAGTAAATTGATTGCAAAAAGTTTCTTCAGTTTTGAAAGGACATTAGTAAAATAGTAATAGCAACTCTAAAAAGTGTACAATATTAAATGTTCCAAAACGCTCTAAAAATAATACAAAAACCCAACCAAGTATACTGTACTGACCTGGGAGCTCTTGCCAGTCTTAGCATCTCCTGACACAATCACAATTTGATTATGAAGCAAACTTCCCATAAAAGTATATTTCTCTTTCCATACTGGAAGTTCTTCTCTTTCTTTCATCAGTTTATAATAACGGGAAGAGTAAGGCAAGCCATCGAAAGGATTAAGCTCTAAATCTTCTCCGCAGACTAATATTTCCTCTTCATCACCATCGCTGCAGTCAAGTAATTCTGAAAAGCAGTGGATCTCTGGAGAAAAGGTTAAAAACGCCATTTTTCCTACATATATTATTCCCAGCAAAAACGCATTAATGATGGAAGGACTCCTTTGCACAGATTGATCACTCAGGCCTCCTAAACCTGAGGAAATCCTTTCCTGCTTGCTTCAGGATTAGTATTTCCCAGCTCTCCGGTTTGAAAGTTCAGTCTTGGGATGCAGCTGCCTTCTTGGTGGTCTGTTTGTCACACTTTAAGCAGTTTAATAACCTGGATGAACCTCGAGAAAATATCTTTAAAAAAATCATCCAAACTCTTCAAAATAGCCGTGATTAAACCAAAAGATATTAAACACAAGCCGAGTAGCTTTTGCACTTTAGTAGCACGTTAAAGCCAGACCACGAGTACCAGCCGGTGTGTCTCCTGCTCGGCCAGGCTGGAGAATAATTGGGAAAGAGCACGCTGAGCCTGACCTTTATTGCTCCCGCCTGTCCCAGCTGTCGTGAATAGGAGGCTCCGGAGCGATTATTGTGATTGTGGAGATGGTCATGTGGTGGCTAATCCCGGCACAATGGGGTTCACCCCCGGGCGCAGCAAAAACAGCGCAGGGGCTGGGAGCGTGCAGTTAACGGGAGGTAACTCTGCCTGAAAGCGTCGGTTGGGAAGAGCCAGTGGTTTTATTTTGTGTTATTTGCAGTGTTTTGGAAAGTCAGAGTAGTAAAGAGTCTTTTTATGTACTCTGTCTGTGAACTCAGGAATCTTGTGAGGCTTTAACAGCCTTTGCAGCAATTAAAAATCTAAAATATACTTAATACATTAAAAAAAGCAGAGAGATGCCAATTCTAATCCTGCAAGGCCAGAACTGACCTTGAAAGCTGGGGGAAGAACAAGTTACCGACATAAAGTAACTCCCAACTCTTAGGACTCAAAAGTAGCAAAATAGAGTTTCCTAATCTTGACTGATCTGTACCGTAACACAAATATTAAATAACATTTTTATTGTAGTTCCAGAGGCAAGTCTCCTGTTGAACAATGGTACTGATAATGTCTTGACAGACTGCGAACGCAGCGCTGGTGTGCTTTTTGTAAATCAACCTTTTTCTGTACTAAGTAACATAATAAAAGTTACTGCCTCTTCTTACAAATTTTTCTTGTTTCATAGCTTTGGACCATATCGGCTACGATGCTATTAATGCATTCTCTGATGACAGCAGCATAGAAAACAAACAAAGAGAAGTAGGAGAAAACCTTTTGTTCAGCAGTCGGAACATCTCAATCCAAATGAGGTAAGTTTAATTATATGCTGCTCACAAAATGGGCTGATTATTGGCACTTGGAGTGGCTGGCAGCAAAGACTGACAGGCTGCCCGGTTTGAGGGCCAAAACCAAACATCATCTTCTGGAGGAGCATCTCTGAAAGGCAAAAGGACCGGGTGATTTATCTGCCCGCGCTCTGGCACTGCAGTACTGCAACGTACGCTTCAGACTAACCATCGACAGGGATGTACCTGCCACCTGTGAGATGACAGGATGACATCTTGATATCTGTGAAGATGACATTGAATGATGTCACATTCAGCTGAACCTGGAAGTCACTTTTCCTGTGACCTTAGTGGATCCCTCGATATCTAATGGTTTATCTGATTTTCTGTTACATCCTTCCCTATTTATTGTTGCAAATTCACTACCATTGAGATCTCTGCCTCTCTCTAGTTGTGGTTGAAATTGCTCAATAAGGCATAAATGTCATGAGGGGACTGACAGCGCAATCCTACAGACATTGTTTTTGTGAAATTCAGCTTAAAATGACAAGCAAAGAGATGAATTGCTATTATCCTGAATTTTGCTTGTTTTTCACATGCTTAGCAGCAGTAGCAGCGTGTGCTCTCTGCTTTCCTCAATTACAGCATAGGCTTGTCTTCAAAACATTAAGAATTGGACAGCAATATTTTCTGGTTCATTGAACAAATTTGAATGGTCATACCACAGGAATTTTTTCTGGGTTTTTTTTTCCTTTTTGGTACCTACAATGGAAGAGAGGACATTTAACTAAGTTACCAAATCAAGAAGAACGTTTACTATTTGAAAACCAAATATTATGGAACTAATATTCCTTTCATGGTCACAAATGTTTTAACAGGACAGATTGTTAACTGATTTACATTATTTCTCTTTGTTAAAATGGGCTGCGTAAAAGCTTTATCCTGATCTTCAGCCAGGTATCTGATGGAGCACTTTGAGGCTCTGCCGGGAGCATCGGCCCAAGAGCTCTCTGCGGCCAGCCTCTCTGGCAACCGAGGGGTCTAACGAGCCCAGCCAAACACCGGGTTGGGAGCGTGATTGAGCATTGCCTTTGCAAATTAAGACATCCAAGCAGTAGCTCTTTGCTACTCAATACGCCTCATTGCTATCGCTCTGCCGTATTCTTCTAGAGTACCGGTTTCTGCTCCTGCATCTTTTAGTCCTTGATGTTGACCTCACGGTGTCTGTCTGTTCTGTCCTGGTCCTTGTCACTCTTTTGACGGGTCTATTGAACGTCTGCTGTAGTGCTGCTGCGGTTGTTCTTGGCTTTGGCTTTGCTGTTTAGCAAGATCTCTTCTTCCCTTTGGAGTGTTGAGCTCTTTTCTGATATGTGCTGCTTGATCATCTCTTCTGATTGCTGTCATTACAGCAGGCCCTTAAGGATTTGCAAGATACACTTTTTAGCATAATACGGGAGGATTTAATTAATTCTAATAAATAACAGAAACACTTGCTGCAGACGAGTGCTTTTAGTAAATTAGGGTATTAGCTGTTTTCAAAGATATCAATGAGAACTTTGCTATTGATTTAAATTATATGTTGTGCAAGTGCTTATGATAATGTGCTGTAGGAGAGCAGTAAATACCACATAACATATGCTGTATCCTTACTAAAGCCCTGTTAATATATAGGTACTCTTTGCAGCTTTGCTATTAAGTCTTTCGGAGGAAGAGGATTTTCTGTGTGTAATTTTTACAGAATTTGGATTTGTAATATCAATGGTGTTACAATGTTCTTTCTCCTCTGTTCCATTTTTCTTCCCCCATTTTGGCAGCAATAGTTTGCAATAGCAATAGAAATTTAAGGGTCACTTCTTTTTTCCCCAAGAGTGTTGTTTAAAGAGAGAGTTTCAGATTAAAGTTACGTTATAATGAAGCAAATTAAGCCTATGAAATACGAATGTGAAGTATATCACATTTAAAAAAACAAAATTATAGTTTATTTGTGTTAGATGAGAACCAGCAGATGCTGTCAAGAACAGTTTCTCTTTCCATCCTTTTTTTCCAGCACAAACTCTTTTGATGCCAAATCCCTCCAGCACTCGTGTGTGTGTCCACCGGGATGTGGAACTGCATCTTTGCAGCTGAAAGTGGAGAGGCTGTTCCTAACCTTGAATCACATTTTTCATGAAGGCTTTGCTAATTTTCCCTTTTAACACAAAAAAAGATGTATGCTGGTAACATACCGCTATTTATATGCCTGGTACAACACCCGCTTGCTGTCCTGCACTTTAGACGAGGAACCGTCATCTGTTTGAACTCTTTGTTTTTCTTAATGAGACCAAACGAGGGTTATGTGGAGCCAATGCAGTTCAGAAGACAGATGGCCTCCAAAAGCAGACCTCTTCCTGTTTTACCTACCCATATAGCTTCGTTTATTCCCTGGGACTGGATTTCCCCGCTGAGCCACCTCTGCTTTCCCATGGCCTGAGGCTGGTGGCCTCAGCTGTGGGCCATGTCCAGGACAAGGAGAAGCCCAGGCTGCCCCCAGACCTGCAGCTCACCATCCGCAACACCAAGGGGCAGCCAACCTGCCCAGGCAAGTCTTGCAAGTAGGAAGGTTGGGCAATAGGTAGATTCTGGCCAACGTTAAATCCTCATTGGAGAGCTCTTCTGTGGTAAAAGTAGGACAGGGGATGGGGACGGGGGTCTCCTTGTGTATAATAAAAGCTGAACCAGTAACTTGTGTGCATAAACCCGCTGGAGCCGATCGCAGGGGGAGGCGGTGCCAAGGGCTGGTAGAACCTGGAGGTGAGAACGTCACCATGATTTATGGAGTCCTGTTACTAAAAATGACACTTTAATAGTCTGCAGGATTTTTTTTTTTTTGGTTGCTTTTTGTACTGCTGTGAATATGAAAGCTTAGTGCCTGGCCAACGGACAGCAAACAAATGTGGAAACCCCCCCCTCATTTGAAGACTCTCTTAGCTTCTCTGTTGGCCTACTGACAGCAGCGTTTAACCTTGCTTACACTTAACTATATCACTGTTTATTGAGCAAGCTGTAAAACTAAAATACAGAATTTTCATCATATGAGAGAGACTGTGGCAGTACAGACAAGTCACACTTCTGTTGTGCTTTAATTTCCACTTAGCTGCTAAAATATTATTAGTTTTGCATTGCTGCTCTTAAAAGTACTGACAGCCAGTGATAGATTGGTTTAGAATAAGGTGTTTCAAGTCAGCAAATAAAAAATAATAACCTAGTTTTATCTCATTGGTTGCCCAGTATTGAATAAGAAAGTCATAGGGTTTTGAGCTGAAATTGGGCATGTATAAGCAATATGCTTGCTTGGGTTTGAGATTCTTCATTTTCACATTTATGTGAAGATGAAATAAAAGTATGTAAGATGCTTCCTGGGTCGTTTTTTTTCCTTGTTTGTTAATTGTGGATTGAAATTGGAATTCACTTCAAATCACAATGTCATTGTTTTACGCATTTAATAATATTGAAAATAATAACAAAAATATAATAATTTAAAATTCCAATCAGATTTATTAAGAAAAGGAAGTGTGGCCTAATAGCTAGTGACTTGAGAGAATGGTTTCAGATTAGTATAATCCCATAAGATTCAAATTAAGAAAATATTCTCTCTTCACCTGGAATCTTTAATGGTCAGAAGCTGTTTTGTCATTCCAGCAGGCAACAGGACTTTTTTTTAAAATTTCCTATTTTTAATAGGAGAAAAAGTAAATTAAATATGCAATTCAGTATTTTATTAATTGTTCAATATCCTGGCTGTCCCAAATCAGTAGCA